TCTTTTTTGACCCCAATTTGATCCCCCGGGGCAAAATCAAAATTCCGAAACCTTACTGCACATCTACATGACACCACCAATCATCCCCCAAAAAGTGGTTTGGCTGCTGAGTAAAATGTAGAAGGAGTTCAGGGAAGACGGGACTTTTTGCACAAAAAACGTCTTTTTTGACCCCCATTTGACCCCCCGGGGCAAAATCAAAATTCCGAAACCTTACTGCACATCTACATGACACCACCAACCATCTCTTAAAAGATGATTAAGCTACTGTGTAAAATGTAGGAGGAGTTCAGGGAAGAAAAGTGTGACAGACGGACGGACGGACGGACGGACGGACGGACGGACGGACGGACGGACATGAGTAACAACAATATACCCGAACTTTCTTTAGAAAGTGCGGGTATAAATATGACTTTTATGTATTTCTTATTATACCTGAAAATGAAACAGTTTGCAACTTTTAACTGTATTAGCATTATTAACAACAATAAAACTTATCAATACATATAAAAACTTGCTAGCAAAATCCCTTGTAGCTGGTTATAGACAAAACACTGATCGCGGTGAACTTGTAAACATGACGTCATTGTGGTAAAAATGACGTATTTCATGTTGTGTGAGAGGCAGACTGAGGAATTCTTAACAAATGAAAAAAGCGTTTTATTATTAAACGGAATATTATTTATAAGGATTTAAATAGTCGATTAATACCTATTTAAATCCTTTGTTTACTGCTATTATTCATTAACAATCAAGAGAATGTATTTTATTAATTATGTCGTGTTTTTATGTGCAGGTTACGTTTATTTTACAATGAGATGCCTCACAAAGTCGTTCTTTCGCAAGGACATACACTTAATAAATCTCAATCATTTTTTGAATATAGATACAGGATATTTTTCTTAACCTGAAAAGTGCTGCTGCTTTCTTTAAATCGAGGGCGTGATTTAATAAATACACAAAATATTTGGTAAAAATAAAACATATTTCGACATTGGCTTATTTACCTGAAAATTTAACTATTAAAACACGAATTATATTCAAAGCAGCAGCACTTTTCAGAAAACTACAAAGTATGCAGAAACAATTAATAGGTTGATTTTTCAATTTCATCTAGGGTATGCCCTTGCGATATTGTAATTTTTTCATGATCTACATTCAGTACACGAACTATGCATTCATCACGTGACTGTCCTATCGATGGGACCGAACTTCTTACAGTACAGAGTGGGTTATACTATGCTATTTGAGTTCTGTGATACTAAAACAACTTAATTAAAATAAATTCAGTTTTAAAAAGGTGCCCCTTTTTTGCACGTCTATTTCCCGTTGATTTCTCATAGTAGGCCTTAACGGTGTTGCGTAGGAATACGAACAAAAAAAAGAGCAAAAGCCACATAGAGCCTTTTTGGCCCTGAGAATATCTGAAAACTCAAAACAGCCCAGTTAAGGCTAAAAAAAAGCGGTATTTATCGCTTGGACTTTTGGTATCTATGTATTTATTAAACACGACATAATTTTCTGTCTTGTCAAATCATTATGACGTCATAAAATAGTCATTTTTTTCCTATATCTTGTAAATTCCTTTTTAAATAGCCCAAAGTTGAACCATTTTTTAAAATATTTTATATGGATCACAACATCAAACGACGTCTAAAATTTTGGGCTCGTGGACTGTACTCATATTTTTATCCTTTGCTGAATGTAGTAAATTACGGTGGTTTTCTGCAAAATAAAAAAAAATGCATTTTCTAAAGCCTGTTTTCCAATACCTGGATACTCAAATAAAAATTTTGTTATAATAAATGAAAGCACCATGTCTCTACTTTATTTATGAAATGGGGAAGAGGTGATAGTTAAATAATTGATATAAGGACAGGGCCATTTAATGAATAAAGTGAACATAGCTCCTTAATTCTCTTCAAAAGTTTATCCTGCATTTCTTTTCCTTGAAGTATATTATAGCAATAATTAAGACATAATTATAATAATAAAATTTTTGGTAACTTTCAAAATCATGTAGTTAATGGGTCATTATCTTATCAAAACAATTAAAATAATCCTACTTTCCCTGTTTCAGTCTTTCTAACAGGCCCACAGATCCATTAAAAAAAGTATTTGATTTTGTTTTCGACATATTCCTTGTATTAAATTAGCGATGTTAAAGTATTTCTTTTGTATATCCATTCTCCCCTATATTAGGCAAGTTTGAGTTTCATTGTGCAATAAATGCCATAGGTTTTCTACATAATATATTTTGATACAAATCCTAGCTGTCGTATACCATAGTTCTATCATTTCGGTCATAATGGAGGAAAAATAAACATGAAAACCCAATATATAGACAAGTGCATGTATATCTTATATGTTGTTGACCTTTCTTTGTGTTGCTTTAGGTGAACATCGTAACAATCCACCAGATGTCAGGTGTCTACTGTATTCTCTACTGTTAGCTGAAAAATATCAGTTGAATCTCAATGAACAATCGCACAGGATCATAAGGGACAAAATCAGAGATAGATATTTCCCTGAAGTTGCTGAAGAAGGCTTGGTAAATCTGCCTGATGGAATCACAAAAACCCAGAATGGCTTGATAAAGTTTACATCAGACGACATCAGACATGACGTAATGTACGCCTTTGTCACGGAGTGCCTGGTAGATAACAGTGATTTGGATTTTTTCCTGACCACGGCGTCACGTGACGTGATCTCTGAATACTGCCGGTCCTGGCGTTATAGGAGGAGTGAGGGAGAGAGATGTCTATATGTACCGGACGAGCCGAAGAAGATGTTCGACCTTTTTATAGAGAAACTACGGCTGGACATCATCACACACTGTACCGTAAATGATAAGATGATTCATGACAGTATCAGTGAACGTTGTAAGTATTAGGTTTTTGATCATTTCATAAAAATTGAACGACAGCTCTTTTTATGGCTGATATGACCACTCTGTGCTTTGATACCCTTCGTTGTTCCTTAATTTGTAGAGAGATACTCTAAAACATGTCTTCCATTCATCAGTAAATAAATGAAAAGTTTTCCTATTTAGGGTATAACTTAATACACGTATTTTTAAAATCTTTTTGTGTGACTTGGACATGTATTTCTGTAAAATTTCAAGTAACATACTGGCATATATTATCTTTCCACTATCACCATTTATGTGACATTTCTTGGAGAGAAAAAAATCACTATCAAATCTTCTGTGTCTTCATAGTTTAAACTTTCTTCGGAGTGCGTTAGGCATGCGAATAAATAAACGCATATTAAAACAAAAACGTGCATGGCTTAATTAATATCTTTGCAAATCTTAGGTATGATAAATATTAGCAGATATTCTCTGTTATGACCTTTGTATAGAAGTCGTTACACGCATACTTTCAGAATTACTCAAAACTATCTATGATTCTATGAAAAAAGTCTAAAATTTGTAACTCAATCTAAGATCAGGCAAAACTTTTAACATTATTTAAACCCCATAACATTTGCGACAGTGCAAACAACAGGTAATGATTGAGTCAGAAAGTTGAAGACCTGATGTCTTTTCAGCATGATATACGTGTTTGGTAAATCAATTATTACCTTCGTTACTATGGTAACAAATTATTCAAAAGTAATAAATATATATATATTCATTAAAGTTTATAAAGTCAAACAAGTGAAAATATCTATCAAAACTATCTATCATATCTATCAAAAATGATAAAATTTTCTTCCTAGTCAATGCATTATGACGCTACGAATGCGCCAATTTCTGCATATTCTGAAAAAAAAATCTACAAAAACGGCCATTTTTTGAAAGCTATTTTTCGTTATTTAATATAGAGAGCAACCTCTGATCGAAGTAGTAAAGGATGGAACTGTTTTCGAGGATTAAAAGACATATTTTATTTTATTAGATCAGAGTGGGTTGGACTTTGACTTTAAAAAGGATTTTCTAAAAGGAAATGAAACCTTTAAGTCTTTATAATTTCATTTTAATGCTTCAAATTGAAAATAGAGTGTTAATTCATCAATTGTTATATCTAGAGGGTTTTTTTGCATACGGTGAACTGAGCCCCTTATTAATATATACTATTCAACTAAAATTCAACCAGATAAACACTATTTAGGTGTGTCATATAATACGCTTTTTGATTAAATGACAGATTAATTTCTGAAGCAGCAAATAAAATCATTTTTATTCTAAAACATTGTTTTCATGGTTACACGGGAAATTAGCAATTAATCGATTTTTTTCTTAAAAGATATTGAATAAACAGTTTCTTTACCGCATAAGTTGCATCAAGATGTTATGTTTTTATTAGAATTATTTGTTTGTGCTTTTTCTAGTTTTTCTCAAGATTCGAGGAAATTTAATTTGATATATATTTCTGGTGTCAAGCACCAAAACAGGGTAAAGTTTCATCAAAATTCATGTTTTACGTCACACAGTGGTATACAAAACCATCTTTCAGTGTCTATTGTTAAATGGTAAATTTAGGCTATAACTTATCAATATTATTTTTAAATTTCAGATTTTGTTTAACGATTCTGTAAACGCAGTACATTTAAGGCAACATTTTCTATAAAAACTCGCAGAATCCGATACATATAATGTTCAATAGTTTTATTTTTTGGCAAAGCTCTCTAGTAAAAATAGCTATTTGTTATCTTTAAGAGTCTTTTCACATTGGTATTTTTTGACATCCTGTGACCCCCGAGGTCACGTGGGCTCCGATTTTAGGTCAAAAAATGAAATATGAAATTTAACCAAAACGTGCAAACAAAAAATTAACTGCACAATGTTTTATGTGTTTCTATGTATGTACACTTTCTCAAAAGTAATGCTCATTCAGTTAGTTTTCCGATATACATGTAATGAAGTTATTCAGCTAAAACAGACAGTAATGCATGAAAAATAGGATATTTTCGTAATTTCATCGCGAATTATAAATTAACTAAAGGAAAACATAGAAATGGGCATCACTTTTTGAAAACTACACAATAAAATAAATAATTTAAAATAAAAACCTACTTTTTAGATTGTCGCCTTGCCCTTGCAATTTTTGATTAAAAATTGAAATCTTGGAAGAGTCAATCTAATTATAGTTTTCAAACGCATCATTGACCCAGCATGGGAGATAACTCTTGAGTATTTGATATAGTTTGTTTACCTCGTAAATTTTATATAAATATATATGCAGACAGATTGAAGATTTAACATGATTAAAAATGTTATAGCTAGTTTATCCAAGGAATGTATTCAACAGTGCATCTTATATTTGTAAATGCTATAGGCAACATAAGAAATGAGTCCTTTAACGACACAATTTTTCTATTGCGCTCAGAGTTAAATCCAATGATTAAATGTTTCCATTTGATATCTATCTTCAGGTAAAAACTTAATCTGTTCCATATTTCAATAACATTTCTACATTCAAAAATGAGATGTTTTGAAGTTTCGTTTACGTGTCATAGTTTGCAATGACTACCAATTTCCTTCTTCCATTTACAGAGGTAGAAATAATTACAAAGAATTTAAAAGTTTATAGTTGAATTCTGTAAGGTGTATATTGGGTATGTCATATAATTTGCAAAGATAGATTTTTTTTTTCCATTCTGAGGGTTCAACACTGAGCTCTTAGCTTAAAACTGTTTGATAACATGGTTTACAAAATTTTCTGTGTGCAAGGTTTTTATAGAAAAAGCTCCATCTTTGATCTGTGACATTAACATATACTGTGTAGAAGAGAAAATGATTTCTGTATCGTATGTTAACAAACCTATAAATTGAAAATTCATACTTTAGTAGTAAGGGTTTGAAAACAGAAGTAAGAATTTTATAGAACTATATGCGGTTTGTTGCATGTATTTGCCCCCACAAAAGTCAAATTTTGAAAATTTTCTGAAATGTGCGGAATTCAATAAATTGCATGGAACAATAAATTAACAGAAAATGTTATAGTGTCAAAGCAGTGTATTCACAATTTTTGTTTTATAACGTCACAATCAGTCCGATTTTATATCCTTTTTCAGAAGGAGGACAAAATGGACAAAATTTCAGAATTTTAGCTTTAAAATTTATACAGCGCAAGTTTGTTCAGGAACAATATTGACATATTTCATTGATATTATCATTTTACACATTATATCCAAAGATTGATCCTGAACACACGTTCGCTCGGTGAACTTTACTCAAAATATCGACAGAATAAGAACCTTTTTCTGTAAATTCCAAAAAAAACTGAAATTAACGTCTTATTTGTGAAGTTATTACGTACATATAGCGTCATTACTTATGAAAATATTCAGTGCTTTGAAGTCAGCATATACTCCCCTGTTTCAAAAGCTTAATTAAATATATCTCCATCAAAGTTTGATTTTTGGGGCAAACATTAATGGTTATTACCGAACAAAGTTCTTTACACAACCAGTTTCACTTGTTTGTATACAATTAAAAAAAATCTAACAATGATTTGAATTTACCATCATTGTTAGATAAATCTTTAACATGTTTGATGCCAGTCTGGCTATCCAATTTTTAAAAGATAATGTATTACCTTCATACACGAAGTTAAAACGCGGGTATGTAAAGGCAGCACATGGATCAGAATTCGGCAAATTAACACTTTTTTATAACATGTAACACTAATAAATCGTTAAAGTCATGGATAAGTCTTTTGCTATCATTATGCATTCTATAGACGTCAATGAGACATATACTACAAGAGGCGCTACACCACGACGTCACCACGTGACGTCTATAATTAGAAAAAAATGCCTTAATGAAAAAGTGAAAAGTTCAACACTGCCCCGGGGATTATTAATTTCAATTTGTAGTCATAGTTATGTAAAAACTTCTCTGTACCATGAAAAGTGCTGCTAGAATCCTACTGTCCTATCACAGAAATAATTATTCAACACTTTCGGAGGAAACCTTCCCAAATTTATTACATTTTATTCATTACATCGAAAAAACTGCATCAATTCCCGTAAACCATACGATTCTAGCAGCACTTTCCAAAAACAATACAATAAGAAGTTTAGATAGAAACAAAAAATAAGTTTCAAAGTATGCGGCGTAGTGTTGAACTTTTGCACCTTTTTTTTCTATGAATGACAGAGGAAAGGTTGATCGGCAATTAAACACCCTTTCTGCTTTTATTTTACGAAGACACTGTAGAGTTATATTAGCATACCTTATTCATAAGCTTTATTCCCGCATGACTCACACATGATATTCATTCTAAATGCTTTTAAACTTCGATTTCTTGTGTTTGTTTACATGAATTCTCGTTACGCTTCACTTTAACTCTGCTTCTGCATGATCAACAGCTATGACGTCACGGGTTTGGTATTTTACCCCTGTGATAAATACGGAGACCCAGAGAGGACAAAATTCCGTTTATATTATGCCTCTGCATCTTCTAATCCAATTTACGACCTCAAATCAATCTTAGATATCGATTTTAAGTAATTGTTATCTCTAAAACTTCACGTGATATTGCTAACTATGACGTCATATCATACATGCAAGTAGAATTTTTGGTTGTAACCTTAATATACCTGCGAATTGTTCCATATCGGCTGTTGAAGAACATTATCGGAAGACATCTTATTCAAAAAACAGGGCTTACATTCATTAAAGCAACATAACATTTCTTGATAAAAAATAGGTATTTTCTCTAATTTTTCCTATCTTTCTATCGGAAAAAACCTAACACATAAAGAGCATCAAAATTTGATTTTTTATAATAGCCATCATACATGTTGTACAAAATGCCTTTCTTTTTAAAGCAATATGAGCTGCATTTCTGAGAATTTTATTTTGCTAGTGAAATGTGTTATTATGATTAATCTGTATGTTATCCAAACAATAATGATCAATAAGACCAAAAAAGTTTTAAAATGTTTCAGAAGAAATATTTTTTTTTACAACCGAATAAACAGTATCATATAAGAAATCATTATTGTACAGGATGACAATAATTCAATTTTGCTTCAATCAAAGCTTAAAAAAGTTCTTACATAGCAAATATGAACAAACGAAATTTATAAACGTTCTATTTTCCTGTAATTGAAATAGTTAATAACACATTTGAAATATTTTTTCCCATGTCAAACATGCAGCTCATATTGCTTTAACAATCTAGGTACCCAAGCTGCTTTAAAAGCTTTTAATTTACATTAAATATCAACAATTGAGAGTCCGCCTTTTGAAATTCTACCTATAAGCGTGTTTCTTTTAATTCGTTCATTTTAATCCCAAATAAAGTTATAAATTAGACTTGGTTTTTTTTTTGTGTGTAAAAGCAATATCAGGAAGACTAACATTTAAGTATTGACTAATGCGATGGAAACAAAGCTTGTCATTGACTGAATACGATGTCACAATAGAAAGGCTTAACATTCAAGTAAACGACACTTTTTATGACCAAGCAGCCACGAGTAGGAGAGAGCTATTTTTGGACTCTCGACCGTGGCTTGAGACTATGATTTACAATGTACTATATAATAGTGAATTTTTGGAAGCTTGATTCACTGCTAATAGTGAAAGTGTGGAACTCTTATTTACTACACTGAAAACTTTGGATCTCTAATTAACTATTGGAAACACTTTTGAACTTACATTTAATTATGTTTTGATTCCTTTTCTTTGTTTTTCATTATATTTTAGGTTTATTTGATTAACATTGAATTCTTTGTGCTATATATCCTAAAACATTAATTGTCAATATTGATGTCTCTCTTTTTCGAAATTTGGAGAAACGAAGTAGATTAAAAACGCAAAAGTGAAAATTATAAATTTATTTCTCGATGTGTATATCTGAAAAGTTAATAGGGACATTAATTAAACATTTTTTTGTGCCATTATTTTATTGTCACTCAAAATACACATCATTTGCAGGCCCGTGATAAGCAATCTCAGTTGGGGGGGGGATGCACAACGATGCATTTGCTGACCATACATTGTAGAATTTGTTAACGATGGGGTAACCTGCGTCGCCTTTTGGAGTAACCAGTGGACTCGTCCAAGAATGCTTTTTTGGTGACCGAAACGTCGGCGACTGAAAGTTACCTGAGATTCCTACGCAAAGGAAAGCGCGAAAACTCTGTATAGAAACTGTTGCGGCTGCTGAGCTTCACTCACTGTTCATTTGCCATAGAATAGAATCCGACATTTAAGTCTTAATAATCTATGAATATACAGACATTTTCAAGATGAGCTTCATATTTGTTTCCAGAAATGTTTAAAGAGGTAGAGCCACTTTGGGCCTTATTTGGCCCTGAGGATTTCTGAAAATTCAAAACCGCTCAGTTTAGGTTGCAAATGCAGTATTTATCACTTTGACTGTTGGTGAGCACGTATCTTTTAATTGTGACGTAATTTCACATCTAGTCAAAGCATTATGACATCATAAAATGCGTCATTTTAGAATTTATCACTTTGACTGCTGGTGAGCACGTATCTTTTAATTGTGACGTAATTTCACATCTAGTCAATGCATTATGACGTCATAAAATGCGTCATTTTCCTCATATCCTGTAAATTCCTTTGAAAATGACCTAAAATTGAAGCGTTTTTCAATATTTCATATAGTGTGCACAACTTCTGATCCAAAATATGCCTATACATAATGAAAGGCCTATTTCTGAAAATCAAATAACATGTTTTATTTTTTGGATCGTGGGCTGTGCTCATATTTTAATTCTTTGCGGAAGGTAGACAAATACGCATATTTTTTGCAAACTTTAAGAACATTGCAATTTCTCAAAGCCTGTTTTCAAATATTTGGATTCTCAAAACGAAATTTCATTATGGAACATGAAAGCACGAAGTGTCTACTTTATTTTGATATATGAAAATGGAAAGGGGGTGATAGTTAATTAATTGATATAAGTACAGGGCCATGTTATGCATAAGATGGCTCTTGCTCTTTGCGAAGATAATATATTTTCTTGTTTTCAAACTAAGTTAATTGATGACCTAGCATCGTTTTTAATCAATTTAACCCCTCTTTGGCTTGATTAAATATTGACTTTGGATTGACATGATATCTGCAAGTGTACATATTCAAGATTACCACAATTTATTTGATCAAGCAGTCGCAGGTAGGAAAGAGCTATATGCTGAATCTGAACCGAGTATTGAGACGATTACAAATATTAAAATATAACCTTTTTACCAATTCAAGTGTCTTGGTCTAATATTTAGCTGTTTAAACAAATATAACTTTTGTTTAAGCTAATGTATTTGAATTTGACAAAAACAAAAAATCATTACATGTATTTATCTTAAATACAAAAGTCTGCTTGTGAAAGTAAAGAAAACAAAATGTACAATTTGTGTTATGTTTCATTTCTATGATATCAGTATTTGGTTAATGATACAGTGGGAGTCCCTAAAGAAGTACTACAATGGGACCAGGAGGCCAGAGAGCGGTATGTGGAGTACGCTAAGAGAGGAACACAGACAGTCCATCACGCCCGGGGGATGATTGTAGGATGTGCTGGGGCGGGGAAAACCACACTACTTAAACGTCTTCTTGGTTGTAGTGAAGACGAGATTAATAAAGTAAAATCTACTGAGGGACTGGAGGTGCATGGGGAACTATTTGATATATGTGAGGAAACAAGATCATTAAAGGGTAACAGTTATATTTATTATGCTTCAACGTAAACCTGTGAAAGAGGGAGAGAGAGAGAGAGAGAGAGAGAGAGAGAGAGAGAATTCAAAAGCATCTTCATTTTCTATTTCAATATTCGATTTTCTGAATAACAAATAAAGACACTTGATTTTCTTTTCAATAAAACAGACTTCTTTTTTATGCCTCTGTTAACGAAGTTTTGTGGGTAAATAGCTTTTGCTCTATCGGTCCTTCCGTCCCTTAACACAAATATACATTATATAGTTAATTATAGTTAACTGTAGTTACACATTAAATCTTGGACTTACTTTACTGATCACTTTGACACTTTGAAAAACTTTATCGAAAACCTTGACACTTTGAAACTTTGACACATTTGAAAACTTTATCAAAAATTCTGATGCTTTGAAAAACTTTATAAAAAATTCTGACGATTTAAAAAACTTTATCGGATAGTTTGACATTTTCAAAAACTTTATCGAAAACTTTTAAACTTGGAAAACTTTATCGAATACTTTGGCACTTTGAAAAATCTAATCAAAAAACTTTTTACACTTTCAAAAACTTTATCGAAAACTTTGGAACTTTTGAAAATTTAATCGAAAAGCTTTGACATTTTCAAAAAATTTATCAAAAACTTTGACACTTTTTAAAACTTTATCAAAAACTTTGATACTTTGATAAACTTTGACACTTTGAAAAGCTTAATAAAAAAACTTTGACACTTTGAAAAAGTTTATCGAATACGTTGACACTTTGAAAAAGTTTATCGAAACTTTGACAATTTAAAAAAAATTATCAAAAACTTTGACACATTGAAAAACATAATCGAAAAACTTTTACAGTTTGAAAAATTATGGTGAAAACTTTGACACTTTGGAAAACTTTAACATTATGAAAAACTTTGGCGAAAACTCTGAAACTTTAAAAAAAAAATTTTGCGAAAACTTAAGACACTTTTAAAACTCTATCAAAAACTTTGACACTTTGAAAAACTTTGACGAAAACTTGGATACTTTAAAAATATTTATCGAAAAGTCTGATACCTTGAAAAACTGTGGCGAAAACTTTGGCACTTTGGAAAGATTTGGCGAACACTTTGGCACTTTAAAAAACTTAATCAAAAACTTAGACACTTTTAAGAACTTTATCGAAAACTTTGACACTTTGATTTACTAAAGTTTACTATAGTTAACTATATATCTTTTATTTAGGATCCGTCTGACTGTGCGTCATCTTGCTGTCGAGCTGTCTGTGTGTCTTTCTGTCTGTCTAGCTGTTTTTCTGTTTGTCCACAAAAACTTAAAACTTTGCTATAACTTTTTACTGATTTGAACTTGGATTTCATATTTCACAATTGTGACAAAACTTTTCTATTGGTGCCAACAAAGTTGACCTCTTGACCTCGGAGTTTGAAACACTTTTACACCAAAGTTTCAAAGTCAGTTCCAAACTTTGATCTTGGCAATAACTTTTAAATGACACTGTCTACATGTAGGGATTTCATGCATCACATCATTACGTAATTTTTGTGAGAAGAACTTCAATGAAAAGCAACAACTTTGACCATTTGACATTGACCTTTGAGATTGACATAGTCTTTAAAAACTTAAATCTTGGTTATTACTTTTGAGTAGTGGGTGCTAGAGCTTTCATACCTCAGATATGTAATCCTTGTGACAAGATCTTTCATTGGATACCAACAGCTTAGACCTTTTGACCTTGACCTTGTTCTTGATAATTACTTTTGAACAGTACAGACTGACTTTCATATACTTCATAGTCATATTTAATCCTTTTGATAAGATTTTTCATTGGAAATCACCAACCTTGACCATTTGACCTTGAACTCGGAATTTGACCTACTTTAAAAGAAATGTCTACTCTTGGCGTTGCCTTTTTAGGGTTAGGGCTACGGTTTTTATACTCACAATATGTAATCTTTTTGACAACGCATATATTTAAAAACCAACATCCTTTACCCTTTGACCTTCACCCTGGAGTTTGAAGTACCTTTGAAAAGCTTAACTTGGTCATAAATTTTGAACAGGTTGTGCTAGGTTTTTATATTTCACATTTGTACTTCTTGTGAAAAAGTCTTACTTCGGATATCAATATGTCTGATTTTTATTTTAGAAAATAGAATATTGTTTTTAATTGGGCTACATATCTTTTTACACTTTGAAAAACTACGGTGAAAACTTTGACACTTTGGAAAACTTTAAAAGTATAAAAAAAACTTTGGCGAAAACTCTGATACTGTAAAAAACTTTGGCGAAAACTTTATGAAAAACTTTGTCACTTTGAAAAAAATTGGCGAAAAACTTCATCTTTCATAGTCATATTTAATCATTTTGACAAGATCTTTTAATTGGAAATCAACAACCTTGACCTTTTGACCTTGAACTCGGAGTGTGACCTACTTTAAAAGAAATATTTACTCTTGGCGTTGACTTTTTAGGCTTAGGGCTACGGTTTTTATACTCCCCATATGTATTCTTTTTGAAAACGCCTTTTTTTTAAAAACCAACAACCTTTACCCTTTGACTTTCACCCTGGAGTTTGAAGTACCTTTGAAAAGCTTAACTTGGTCATAAATTTTGAACAGGTTGTTAAGTGTAAAACCGATTTTTAAGCAATTATAAAATGAAAAGGAAGAAAATGCTAGACACTCATTATGCAATAGTTAATAATAGTATATATTTATATGCGGTTTTTGTAAATCATCAAACTTAATTTTCTTCTGCAAGTCTAAATTTCCATGGAAATGATTTATATGCGTCCCTTTCATGCCATCCAATTAATACAATTTTTTTCATGAAAAAAATTAAGATATACCAGTTTAGAAAAGTAAAACTACTAACCATGTGATATTTTTCTTTCAGCAAAGAAAAGCAAGGACAACAACGGAAAAGAATTTACTACAAATGTTGACTCAAAGACTCTGACATTCTTTGACTTTGGAGGACAGTGTGCGTACTACGCCTGTCACCAGATTTACCTGACTAGGAAAGCTTTCTATGTTGTGGTGGTGGACGCCTCTAAACGTTTTGACCAGAAGGTGGATGAGAAAGTGTGTGATCAAGATGGGAGTGTTTTCTCTGGATGGACTTATGGAGGTACAATGTATACTTTTAACAAAGAACCATTTTATATCTCGTATTCATTAGACATACAGTCCCTGAAACGTTCTACTTTCCCACCTGAACGGTGAACGAATAATCAGCGAATGGAGAGTGAACAATATGTGAACGCTGAACGCATGTTGGTGAACTATAGGTTAACGGTGAACGGTGAGCGAACGCAGAACGCGGAACGCGAATGAAGCACAAACGCGGTAATCGAAAGATGAACGATTAATCGGAATAACTCTTATTTTAATAGAAATTAAACTACTGACTGAAATCTGTAGAAACGTAGTGCGCAGTTCCTCATACATGTATAAAGTCTTACTCCATGTCATAAGACTTACACAATTCAATAAAAATATACCTTTCGACAAAAGCTGATTGATTAAAATAAAGGACAACGTTTAGCTTCAAAATACACACCAGCTGATAAAAGTTAAATGTCAGTTTATTGATTGATTAGTTGGTTGTATACTGTATTGATAATTTTCCATCATACGGAAATATCACCCTATGCCGGTGAAGGGCTTCAAATTCAGACCTAAACTCGGCACTCAGGGCCATTGAGCATTGAGTGTTCTTTTTCGTGCAACGCCTACCGTAATTCGGGACCTACGTATTTAAGGGCATACGCAATGTAGTTTGAGCTTTATTGGGTTCTTCCCTGGGTTGAAGAGTTCCACTAAATGAAGGAGCGGTGTGCACTACTTTTAATGTCTATATATGGATTTGTACACCTACAGTGTATTCTGAAACAATTTTTGATGAAAAAAAAAACTGGAACTTATGTTCTGCAACTTATGTTCATTTGTCTTTGAATAATGCAAAATTTGTCACAACTTGATATCTTTTCAAAACCCCCGGTAACGCATGCTTATTTTTTGTCTAAGAACATGTAATAGTATTGTAAGTTTAAAATTTAGAATATTTTGAAAATTTATCAGTATGTGAGGTACGTTGCATGTGTCCTTAAGATTACATCCGATAGACCCGTGACTTTCACTTCTAGTGCCAAGCGCTTGAGAAAGAAAGAGTCTATGCCTTTGTTTACGTTTAACGTGAATGAAAATCGAATGTGGGCCTCCCAATCACGAAGCAAACACTCTAGCACTAGACTATCGTGACCGGTTAAAAATGTAGAATCCAATAATCTAAATTTGAATAATTGATTACTATAGTAAATGCATATAGGTCCCCTAACTGGAAACGACTTGAGTAAAGTAGGATGGATACCAAAACAGGACATGTAAATTACACCCTCTTTTCCCAATATTATTTGTATTAATCCTTCGATTTTACATGAAGCAAAAATAGGTAAAATATAATGTCAACAACTCATACTAAAATCTTATCGAGATAAGGTGACACATTATTTTCAATATGGCAGTCACATATTAAACATAGATTTAACAAGAATGAGAACTGGACGATTGCACAATATCATATTAAAAATTCAAGTGATATATTACAGTATGTGATACATAACAGTATTTTGTTTTTTGCATTTAATTGTACAGATAGTTTCTTTCCATTATTATTCTATGTAAGATAACGAGATTTGAGGACAACAATAATTTAATAAAAATTCTCCTTTAGCTCATCTATCACCCTTACTTGTATTTGTATCCGTTGTAAGTTTGTTTCTCCTTTGATACCTGTACACGTACTGGAATCATGAAAGAAAAAAAAATAAAACATCTGATTATCAATGAAAGAATTTTATTCGTAGAATGGAATGTTGTTATATGAGGGCTGTTCTGTAAATAAAGTCCTGAACTGTATGACAAAGAATACATATATCACATGAAATTGAGCTTGACTTTCTCTTATTATTTAATCTTTAATGAATTTATTACAATTTACTTTTCATCACATAGTTTCATTGTGAGAAGCTGGAAAACAAGGGCTATTCGAGACATTGCATTATAAATGAATGGTAAAGAATTTGTAAACTAGAGTGAAAATAAAAGCTTCATTAAAGCTGTTGTATAACTTGTTAAAAATCCCATAGAAATATTCACTGAAATATGTGATATTTACAGCAACCAATGCCTGTTTTATAGACAAATGAGCAGGTAGATTTCAATGATAAAAAATTATTTAATAGGCATCAAAAATTGGTACCCTCCCTGTTAACAAAAAATTATAACAACTTATGTACTGTTTGCCAAATTTCAACAAATAATGATGATGTATGATTGGTTTTAAGATACATAGCAAATTTGATAGACATCATTTCGGGAGTAGTTTACATTGCTTTTAAGAAACGTTGACGGTAAAAAATAAAATCAGTACTCAAAGGTTGCCCCATATTTTGAAAAATAAGTGAAAACGACAGCGTTCGAATGTCTTAATTATCTTAAAATATCAGTAGTTGTAGTTATCCACGTTTGTTTGATATTCAAACAGATAATGGAACTTGAATCTATTGCATAAAACCCTCAAAACAAATAAGATGTACATGTACAACTTGGTACATGGTAAAAACAGTGAACGTCTGACAAGAGCAAAGAATTGCAAGACAGATTTATTAGTAGTATTGTTGTTCACATTCGTATTCGGGGAGCCAGTTTAATATCTGAAGGAGGCTTGAAAGCAATTTTTTTGCAAAACATTTAATTTTTTATTAAAGGAAGGAATTCACTACATTCAATTTCTTCAAGACAGAGTCCAAACCCGCACACCCTGAAGAGTAAAGGGATTTTCGGGATAAACATAAAATTATTTTTTTTCACATTAACAATATTCGCCAGATATTTGACCTTTTGATTCTATTTTCAAACTTGAGAAAACACCTTTCAGAAGAAAGAAACAAGTCCAGGAAATCATTTGATCTTTCATTTTCCAGTATACTGAGGGTCATACCCAAAAATATGTTCAAAAAAGAACCAGAAATTGGATTAAAAATGTTACGGACATGTGTTTTAATTAAAAGAGATTAATAACTTAAATCATGAAGGCTAAATCATTGAAAAGCGTCTTTTGCTTCTTTTCGAGCACAGAGGACATCATTTATTGAACAGCCCTGTTACAACGCGAAATGTAATAACAACGCGAAATGTAATAAACCTGGATTATTACATTTTGCGTTATTACATTTTGCGTCGAAATCAACGCATAATGTAATAACGCAAAAAGTAACAACATACTTGAGAATTATTACGTTTTGCGTTATTACATTTTGCGTCAAGATCACCGCGAAATGTAATAACGCAAAATGTAATAACACAATTTTTGGATCATTACATATTGCGTTGTTACATTTTGCGTCGAGATTAAACAAAAGGCAAGAACGCAAAATGTTATTACACACCTTTTTTCGGCAGCCAGATTAAGTACAATTTTTAATAGTGTAGGGGCCGATGAAAATAGAATAAAACAAAAGAAAAAATTCGATATACGCAATTTCTTTCAATTAATAAATTTTATAATATATTGATTTCATAAGCTACATGTATTTAAAATCAGTTAAATAAATGTTTTAAAATTATAGGTGTTGCAAATTAGAATTGTGCATCTGTGGGCAGAGTTGTTGGGGGTTCGTGACCAGTGTGTTTTTTAAATAGACAAATGCAATGAATCTAAAACTAAACCTATTCATTTGTACTGGCAGGTGTGAATGTATAGCGGGAAGAGGTTTGTTGACAAATGATACCATACTGTTCCATGCACATAACCAGCATTGCAGACAAGCAAAAACAAAATTCCCTCTCTCTTTCTTTCCATCCAACAATAAAATGGATTATTTCTGCATGTCCACAGTAATACAATAATAAACATACAAAGTAGATACCCCAACCTTTCCCTGCAACTCACATACACGTCTAATTTGACATTGTATACATACATGTACATATCAAGAGATATAAATGAAACTATGGTCAATCTTTGGTAATTAAATGAATTATGTTATTGGTTAGATATTTAATCAAACTATCAAAAATATGCCAATGAAAGTTAAATAAATTCTGTATAATTAATTATAAGTACATTGTTTTCAATATAACTAAAATCAGAGTCAGTCAAAAAACGATACATTTAGATGTATTTATGTCTGTAAAAGCCCTAACATTGGTCTCATTGTTTTAGTTCTAAATATTTTTACAGCGTGTTTCCCATGTTGGTTACATGTACGTATATATTTGAATCAATTTTATGTTCTCTTTTGTTATTGGCATCCAAAAATATTAATTATAATTTGTTTTATTACATATTGTTTTATTACATTTTGCGTTGTCTTTAGTGCAAAAATAAAATAACGCAAAATGTAACAACGAAAAAGCACGTTATTACATTTTGCGTTGATCTCGACGCAAAATGTAATAACGCAAAATGTAATAATGTAAAAATCATGTTACTACATTTTGCGTTATTACATTTTGCGTTGATCTTGACGCAAAATGTAATAACACAAAATTTAAAAATCCAGGTTTATTACATTTCGCGTTGTTATTACATTTCGCGTTGTAACACAGCCCTCGTATACTAGTAATAACGTTCGTTGGAAACATGTTTTACAGCAAACAAGTTGCATCAAAAATGTGAAAATATTCTTTTATCTAATTTAATTTAAAAAAGTGTTCAAGAAACATATTTTATTTATTGTATCTGCAATGAAATACTCTGATAAAATTGCATTACTTAGAAACACTTAAACCTGGGGAAAAAACTTCAGAATTTTGAATTGTAGATAAAAAAAAAAAACCTGCATAAAGAGTAATAAAAATGTTCCAGGCTCAATAAAAAGACGATCATGATGAAATGTGTGTTAGATTCGTCATGTGATACGAGTATATCCTGTTCGGATTGAAAACAATGATGGACTTCAAAGTACTGCTAAAAGACGTAAATTGAATTGTTTATTTCTTTTGGTAAGATATATATTAAAAGAAGCATTTTGCATATTTTTTATGATAATATTTTTTTCATATTAACATTACAGACTACTTTGTTTTCTGGATAAAGTCTATACACACCTACTGTGGTTTTGACATTGAAAAAGATAAAAAGTCCGTAGTTCTAATTGTAGCCACTCATTGGGAAGAAGGAAACAGACAATTTAAGGTGAGCACAATTTATCTAGTCATGTCATGCCTTGTCATTACCAACACACCATCATAAGAATTTTGTTTTATTTTTAAGGAACTTAATTCTTTAACATATTACAATGCAAACTTTGAGTGATCTGAAACAGTTCTATTGCATGAAATAATTTTCACCAGGGTATCGATCGACATATAAATATATATGTTTGAATTATTTGCATATGATTATACCAAGTTTTAAAAAGTTTATAATAAAACATCAAATATGATTTACCTTCAATTTGTTTTATTTCTTGGAAAGTTTTAAGAGATGTATGACTTTATCTTTTTGTGTAGTTGGGAATGATGCTTTATAAGGAACATAAAATAAATGTAATAAGAAAATCAGGGTCCTAAATAATGCTTTAACAGGAATACAAACTGTCAGTATTTTAATACCTCTTGAAAATTAATTCAATAAAAAATCTTTATCAATGCAGGATAAAGTGGAACTGGTTGAGCGTTTACGGTTTCAGTTTCCGAAGACGTCTAACTTATCACAGTACATCAGAGATGATAACGTGTATTGTGTAGATTATACTTTACCTCTCCATGATTTAGAAACTTGCTTCTTCAACATAGCTTCCAGTCAACGATGGAGAGAAAGCATTCCAAAAGAATGGTCTTTCTTTGGATTAGAAATCAATCAGAAAAAGCGCTCAGAGCGGATCTTGAAAATTTCAAAAATAAAAACAGAAGTACCAGAGATTACTGCTAAAGAACAGGAGGATTCAGATAAAAGTGAAAATGGAACACAAGATATGTTAAGATACTACCATGATGCTGGAAAAGCCTTATATTTCAATGAAAATGGTCTCAATGAGGAAGTGATTATCGACGTCCAATGGTTTATTGACGCCTTTAAACATATCATCACAGATAAGCTTCATTTCAAAGGTATTCCTGTATCGCAAAGCGACTGGGATGAATATTACGAGACTGGAAATTTGCGAGACGAGCTTCTGATAGAGATTTGGAAACATAAAGATGAAGAGTTGTTTGAAAAGCTTAGAGAAAAAGACAAAATCTATCACATTAGACTTGGATCATATGAGAAAGAAAAAAGATATCTGCAATGTCACAAGAAATCACTTCTTGGTTTTATGCAAAGACTTGGTTTACTGGCTCTTGGTACAAATTCCCACTATATTCCATGTATGAACAGGAAAGAAGTGGAGTGTAATCTTTCCAATCTGATTCACAATTCGCACAGTAAATCATCAGTCCTCATTTATAGATTTGACTTTTTGCCATTTTTCTTGTTTTATCGCCTTATTGTCGCTTGTATGCAAGAAGATAGTTGGAGTGTTCTACAGAATAATGGTATATCTTGCCTTTACAAAAACGCCGCTTTGTTTTCGTGCATGGAAACTATTTTCCTTTTGTCCGTCACAGAAGAGTCAATACAACTTCAGGTATTCTGTCTGATGCCAGGATGTGTTTTGGAAAGGGCAAAAACGTGCAAGATTCAAGAAAGAATTGAAAACCTGTTAAATAATTTAGCAGGAACATTTCATAGAAAAGTACAGTTTGTAAGAGGCTTCCGATGTCGAATAGATGAAGAAAAAATGATTGCTGTTGATATCGAAGGACATTTCTTACCAGAAAAATATTACATTCCAAAAGAAGACTGTAAAATGCTGTGCCCTTTACATACGATTTCAGATCAGCATGTCATTGATACAGCTGAATTTACTAGATATTGGAAATTGGAAAGAAATACCAAACCTTAAATTTACAAAAAAATATATATAATATTTTTTTTATTTAATTTTAAATTGTTTGATGGCTTATAAATTTTTATGTAACCTGTACCGACAGCTCATTTCACCTATTGGGCTCGTAGTTTTATTGCCCCTCGGCGTTATTTAAAAGATAGGATTATGTGGAAAACCTCCTTATCTCTCTGTTTGTCTTGTTTCTGTGTGTCGTGTGAACTTTTTAAAATTCCAGACTTCTTCAGAACAACCAGAAAAAAAAATACAAATGTTGGTGCATACATGTAGCATCCTTACGTAAAGGGCAATGAAAAGGAACTATATCTAAGATTGGAATATCTAATGATGTTTTTTTTTTATTTTCTAAAACTCCCTATTTAATTACTGCTGCACTAAAAATAGTAACTTCAATTATGTGTCCATGTACCTTTAAGTTACGCATGTACATGAACTATTTATCGATGTAAGCTTTCAATTATCAGATTTACCCACATAGATGTGTAATAAAGTACGTACATATTGACTGTACCAACAATATAAAACGATGTCAACCGTCGATTTTTAGATAAATTGTTAGAAGGTTAAACGTGTATATACATAGATCATGTAGATGTATATCCAGGTGGCTAGTTCATCTGTCTTCCTCCCATAACATGTATGTGAAGATGATGTACTGACTGGGCCCCATCCGGTCCATCGTTAATTACTGAGGGAAAGATAGAAACTGGAAAACTTTGAGAAACCAAATGGTTGACGTTGACGAATATTTGACAAGACAAACCTATAAAATTGCTTTAAAAAATTATTTGTATCCATATGTTGTCAATGTCGTGATCGAATTTAAATATATTATTTCTGTATTGACATGTTTTGACGCAGCTTAAGTTTACCATCTATGTTAAGCTTCTACATGTGTTACTTTACCTAGTCTGTATCCAGATTCAAGATTTTGAATATGCATCACAAGATTTTAAACATACATCACAAGATGATAGAATATACATCACAAGATTTTGAATATACATCACAAGATTTTAATTTACATCACAAGATTTTGAATATACATCACAAGTTTAAGAACATATATCACAAGATTTTGAATATACATCACAAGATTATCAAATTTAGCAACGTTTTACACGCTATACATTTGTGTCAGAATGATCAAAAGATATACTCTATATTTTAGATTTGTGGTTGTAAATTCCTAAAATCTCTATAATGAAAATGAAATACTTGAATTTTTATAGCTTTATTTCATGTATATTAAGTAAAATAATACTGTAATCATTAAAAAAAAAATACACGTACATTTTTTTATTGTACATGTAGCTGTGAGGAATTTCAAACTTAAACAATTAATAAAATAATCTGTTTTTAATTTCATGTTTTAAGAATTGATTGAGATATCCAGAAAAGCAGATACTCACACAAGGTGGCCTTCGGTCTTGACTGTAATTGTTGTAAAAATAACCGATGTATAAAACTGGAATTAATTTTATATCAGATAACCCGAACAATATTTTCATAAATATGTTAGGGATTTAAAACGCTGTAAACAATCATGAGTTTTATATAAAGATACGTGGAAGGGTTCCTAAAAAAACCATTTATCTCAATTCTGAACATAAAGGACTTGGAAGACTAATATGACATTGATTATTAGTTACAATATTTTAAATGTATGCTTTGCAGTTTAGTATATTGTAAACTTAAGTTGTTTTTTTTTTTTGTTTTTTTGTTTTTTTTTTTGTTTGTTTGTTTTCTTTTTTTGCATATTTCATTACAATAGAACAATAAAAGAAAACAATACAACTGCTATCTAAAATTATTATAAAAGTATATGTCACTTTTAACAAAATATATGAAAAATATATAAACAAATATTACGCATGGCGTTTTTTATACAACAGAGATTGTCGGTGCATGTATGAAAGGTATAAATATTTTGAGGTCTGCCTGGGAAAATTTGTTAAAAGAAAATTTACACTATCTTGATCGGACATAGACAAAGTTGGGTTACATCTAATACTTGTAAATAAATATGATCTAAAAATGGAATATTTTGTACAATTTAATAAAAAATGATACTCGTCTTCTATTTCGTCTTTAGAACAAAAATTACATAACCTATCTTCTAATGATTCTCCTTTATATCTTCCAGTTTCAACTCTAATTGGTAAAATTCCACATCTAAATTGAGCAAGAATAGATCTTTGAAATTTTGGAATATTCATTCCTAGGTAGTTTTCAGTATTAAAATGTGTTTTGAAATCTTTATACATACGTTATTTAGGTAGTCGCTTTATCTTTACTAGCCATTCATTCTCATAATTTAAAAGTAATCTTCGTTCAAATTCAACTATATCAAATAGTAATAACCTATGATAAACATGTTCAGAATTCACCGATTCAAATAGAGATTTAATTTGCGACGTCCAGCTATATTTATTACACTGATTTAGTTCCCACAAGAAAACATGTTTTGTTATGCGGTTGTCCTCCATGGTCAGTAAACGATTCCAGTATCGTACAGCGTTAATGCGGTGTCTATGGAAAGGAAGCTTCCAACCGAATTCTCCATGTAGTGCTGGTGTCGGTGTAAATCTGTGTACCCCCAAGTAGTAACGAAGTGCGCGATTCTGTACCATCTCAATACAGTGATAGTTTCGACGACCCCATATTTCACTGCAATAATCCAAAACTGGTGCTACACAATTCAGAAAAAGTTTTTCGAAAGTTGAGATCCCTATATCTTTATATGAACGAATTTTAGAAACCATCCCTCCGAAAGCACGTCCACCTGCTTTTGACAAAGTATCGGCATTATTTTGGAAACTAAGCTTTTCATGGAAAATAACACCAAGGTATTTGTAATCCGAACTGTATTGTAGAATATTATCGTTGAGTTTAAACTGGAAATTACTGCGGGATCCTCGTTTATGGAAATGCACTACTGCTGATTTTTTCATATTTATACACAAGCGCCATTTTTTACACCATGTGGACACAGTATCCAAAATTTTCTGCATATTTTCTGTAGAATCGGATAATAGTGCAATATCATCAGCATACAGCAATATACTTAGATTTATGTCTCCTACCGGTACGCCTTTGTTCATATTTTTAATTTCTTTTGCAAGGTCGTTGATAAAAAGAGCAAAGAGAGTTGGTGATAGATTGTCTCCCTGACGAACCCCGGTTGAGCTTTGAAACCAATCTGTGCTTATGTCGTTTATCCTTACATGTGATATTGTGTTTCCATAGATAGTTTTTAGTGCATTGTAGAAATCTCCGACTATTCCAATACTAAAAACTAAAAAGTGAAATTTTTAAGAGGTCGCGATCCACTGTATCAAAAGATATTTTCCTAATTTCATCGCGAATTATAAATTAACTAAAGGATTACAAAGAAATGAGCATCACTTTTTGAAAACTATACAATAAAATAAATAATTTAAAATAAAAACCTACTTTTTAGATTGTCGCCTTGCCCTTGCACTTTTTGATTAAAAATTGAAATCTTGGAAGAGTCAATCTAATTTTAGTTTTCAAACGCATCATTGGCCCAGCATGGGAGATAACTCTTGAGTACTTGATATAGTTTGTTTACCTCGTAAATTTTAAATAAATATACATGCGGACAGGGCTGGACTCTTTTTTTTACTTAATCAAACGGTATGCATAAAAATCGTTGACATTTCTTTCTTTTCTTTGTATTCGTTCTCCTTTAATGTCTTTCAAACCTCCCGCATTTCCTCAAAGATGTGTATATACATGTAGTATTACATACAAACAGGTCTAAATATTGCCGATATATTTATGTAGAACACAAATGGTTAATTAAAATATAGCCTTCATTAATAATTAATTATATATCTATTCCCCTCTTACACTACTGTACGCATAGGCGTCGGAACCGGGTTGGGGGGTGGGTGAGATAGGGATTAGCCTCCATACTTATTTGCAAATTATATACGTAATGTAGGCATTGGAATTTACCTTTTTCTTTTGGTTACCCCCCCCCCCTTTCATTTAGCCCCCTTTCATTTGCTTCCGACGCATATCGTACACAAACTTGTGTTAATATTTTTTTTTCTTTCTGCATATGTTCCCCGATCGCTTTCAATCAGACCGCTTACTGTTAGTTAAGGGATATTAACTAGGTTTTAAGTTTTAGGAACTAATTAGAAAGGATTGGGTTATACTCCTGTATTTGTTAAGGAGACAGCCATTTCATTCCGAGGGGGAGGGGCTAGCGGATTTTAGAAATAAATACTTGAAGATCAGTGATCTCCGAGTTTTTAACATTTTTTTTCATGTTAGACTTTTCAATGAAGGGGAAAATAAATAAATAATCTGTCCTTCATTTCATTAATCGGAAATAAATATTAATCTGTCCTTCATTGACATGAAAATAAAAAAAATATGATTTGGAAAAACTCGTCTCCCCCCTTTCCCTCAGAATCAAATGGTGGTCCCCTATCCTATTTTTAATCTCTAGTCTTCTGTTGTTTTTTTTTTTATTTTATTAAAAAATAAATGAACACAATGCACATGCTGGAAATAAGATTTTTATGGACATTAGTACCCTTCACACAAAATAGTATGCAAGTTAAGATTTTCAAATCTTAATGGCCTTTTCAACACATGAACAGTAAATAAATTAAAAAGTCAAATTATTTTATTTATCTAGAAAATTTATGAAATAAACATTTCTTTTCAAATCCAATGATAGACTGTAGGCCTAGGAATGCTGGGCAGGTGCAAATTATTTCCATGACTTCATGTTCTTGTGGATAAAATGAATTCTGAAAATATGAGAAAATCAGGAAATACCATTATTGAAAAAAAATTGTGTTATAAAAAATGAAATTGAAAAATGCAATGAACCATTTAACATAGAATGCATATACATGTTTTCAATTCTTCTTTTAGTTTTATTATCAAAACTTTGTATGATTTATAGCTAATATATTGAGCATACCATTTTCCTTAAATTAACTTCCTGCCTGAGTGAATCCATTAGTCCACGGGAAAAGCTATGCCTACAACACAATATTATATAATATGCAGTTATTTGCTATGAAATTACTAAATATACATTGTAGAATAAAATGGCATTTCATTTTACCAAAAAAATATGCTACATTGTATACTGTAGTGAATTTATGTAATTCATATAAATGAAAAAAAAATGTGTTACAAAACTTCTCTGGGAAAGTGAAACTTCTGACATTTACAATAGTTAATGATAGAATATTTTCTAAAAAAAAAAAATGAGTTTCTCCTTTACCAAAGTGAAAAAAAAGTAAAGTACATGCAAACTTTAAAAATGTGAAATGCTTAAGAAGTATACATACCCTGTGGAGAAATGGTGCATTTTTTATTTATTCATTCTTTAAGCCTGATACTCTTGACGGCTACAATGATAAAAATATTATATAAATATTTTAATGTACATGTAATCTAAACAAAAATGACTATTTTTTTCATTACTTTAGAAATTCTAGAAAATTACAACCATAGATCTGAATTGGGGCTTCTATGTTTTCAACACAATGATACTGATATATATTTTTTAAAATTGTGTATATTTGTATGTCAAAAG